AGGTTCACAAAGTGCTGCACCTGCCACGAAATCTGCACATGGAGGTTTGCGAAGTCCTGTGCCTGCCACGAAATCTGCACATGGAGGTTCACAAAGTGCTGCACCTGCCACGCAATCTGATGAGTGGTGTGTGATGAGTGGTGTATGATGAGTAGTGTGTGATGAGTGGTGTATGATGAGTGGTGTATGATGAGTGGTGTGTGATCAGTGGTGTGTGATGAGTGGTGTATGATGAGTGGTGTGTGATGAGTGGTGTATGATGAGTAGTGTATGATGAGTGGTGTGTGATGAGTGGTGCGTGATGTGTGGTGCATGATGAGTGGTGTAGTGTGTGATGAGTGGTGTATGATGAGTGGTGTATGATGAGTGGTGTGTGATCAGTGGTGTGTGATGAGTGGTGTATGATGAGTGGTGTGTAATGAGTGGTGTATGATGAGTAGTGTATGATGAGTGGTGTGTGATGAGTGGTGTGTGATGAGTGGTGTATGATGAGTGGTGTATGATGAGTGGTGGTTGAACAGCTGTTGAATGTCCGTAACACGGAAGTTTTGCACACTAAACTTCCTTTGATTAGAAACGAGAATTATAATAGAAACAATTAAGCTACTAGGAACAAGTGCATCGCTACTAGTAACAAGTGCCTTACTAATTTAACTTAATTTTGCTTTAAGTTATATCTAATAGCTTTTTGTTACTACTAGTAAGGCACTTGTTACTACTAGCGAGGCACTTGTTACTAGTAGAAGACACCCAAAAGGCCATCTGCACATCGACCTGCTCCGGGTCGACCGACCGACCCGCTCCACACGGTGGCCTGTTGCACCTCGTGCATGTCCCGACTGCGATCGCCCACTGCGCTTGAGGCGTACCTCGCAGTGGAAACGGGAAGGAACAGCTTGAGCAAGGGTTTTCCGCTTCAAAGGAAGTGATTTCTTTCAGAACCAGGGATTCCTCAGCTTCTGGCATTGTTTCACTGAGGCTGAAGTCCACTAAAACAAACACTTCCAGACTTTTCTATGGCTCATTCAACGGGGATTCCTTTAGCTTCAGCAGCGCCTTCATCTCGCTTCGACGCCGCTCTGACAGACGACCATCTGTCCTTTCACCTGGGCTCCCCTGCTGCTCTGTATGCATCTGTCCATCAGGGCCTCAGCCAAGGCTAGTAGCGTCCTTGCTACTAGGAGCAAAGGGCATCGCTACTAGGAACAAGGATGCTACTAGGGGCTCCTGGCCCTAGTACTAGGAGCAAATAGCTACTAGTAGCGTCCTTGCTCCTAGTAGCGATGCCCTTTGCTCCTAGTAGCGTCCTTACTCCTGCATGTTTTTGCATGTCCTCAATGTTGTGTTGGTTTTGCATGTAATGTCCGCTTCTTTTTCCTGACTTGCCCTCCAACCCACTGTCTGGCTTTTCTCGGAATGAACTGCCAATGAACTGATATGAACTGCCATGTCTCAACTGACCCAGCATTTTAATAAGTGTGGGCCCAAAACGCCAAGACAGCCCTCACAACCTCCACCAATTTCCCGTTCCCAAGAGATGTCTGGGGCGCCCAGGCCCATTCTGGAGCTAAAAGAAAAGGTTTGGCAACTGAACCCTGGTGGCGTGCTGGTTTCAAGGCGCGTTGGTTTCAGCAAACGGACTTTCATCCTTTCAAAAGCGTTCGTTGAAGAAAGTGTAAGAGCGATGGCCTCCTCCTACCTACTAGCGATGGCCTCCTACCCTAAGCGGTTGACCCTAGTAGCGTCTCTTGCTCCTACCCCGCGCAAGCGCGCGCGAAGAGGTCCTAGGAGCTTCTTGTTTCAATTCTAATTAAATTCCATGAATTCTTGTTTCTAATAGCTTCTTGCTCCGCTCCTAGTAGCGATGCTGGGAGCCCCTAGTAGCGTCCTTGCTCCTAGTAGTAAGGTCACAAGCCCCTAGTAGCTTCTTGCTCCTAGTAGTAGCGATGCCAGGAGCCCCTAGTATCGTCCTTGCTCCTAGTAGCGATGTCAGGAGCAGTGATGCCCTTGTTCCTAAGAATTGCCGTTCGCACCAATCTTCCAATCGCCTCCCGCGCCGGACATGCCAGACATCATAGACATCTGTGGGCCGCCCCTCGGGTGAGCGAGAGGTTCCCAAATGTCAACACTTCCTTTGTGCTTTGGGTTTGGCCCCAGCATAACAAGGACGCTACGAGGGGCTCGTGGCCTTACTTCTAGGAGCAAGAAGCTACTAGGGGCTCCTGGCATCGGTACTAGGAGCAAGAAGCGCTATCAAAAGAGGACATGAGTGACTTATGATTTGGGGTTCTTCTGCAATCACGTTGCGGAATCTGCGGGCGATCTGCAAGCTTCCTAATTGAACAAGTGTGTCGAAATCAACCCCAGTCGGAGGATGCCCAAACCCTGTTTCCATCGACAAAGTTTGAAGGACATTTGACTAACATGATGGTCGTCTTCCGGGCATATTAAGGTGCGCGTCAAGGGTGTAGGACATCGGTCCGATGTCAGGTCTGTTGAGCGACTCCAAAGCATGTGCAGCAAGGAACTGCAGATCTTGCCACATGAGACATTCAGGGTCAAAGCCGTATGAAGAAACTTGTTTCAACCAGGTGTTGCAAGACACACACCGCCGGCTTCACGGGTAGTGCCCCGTGCAGATGGGTTTCCTGGAAACCTCTGAACGTCCCAAAATCAGTGCCGCGCCTGTGTGGGTTCATCATCATCTGATCCATGTCCTCCAGTGGCAGATTCAAGTACATCCATCGAACGGGGGAGTTCTGAAACGTCCGACGAAGGTGCCCTCGCTTGAACTGGCTACCCCGGACAAGCGAACATGCAAAGTGGTAGAGGAACACCATCTTTACTTTCTATTCTTGTACCTATGGATAGGGGCCCTTACTGCAGTGGTCATTGAAGGTCTTGTGTTTGCTCATGGCTCAAATTGGCCTTGTGATGCGCTTCCTCTTCTGGTCTTCTGTTCACAAACAAACCTTGCAGAAGAGACGCAAGGAACACTATACCTATTCCTCTGTTTCACAGAGGTTGTTCAGGTGACCACGAAGAGCTAGAATCCCATTCCCAAGATAAAGACGTCTACCCGAAAAGAATAACTGCTGTCTTCATTACTATCTTTGTTGTCTTAAGATTTGGGATGCCTATGACCCAAAGTTTCTGGCTTTTGAAAGAACGTGGAATTGGACGGCGTGGGGTCATAGGCGAGACAGTCATCGAATCGATTTCAGATTCGTCCTGCATCATCTGATTCATCTGTCCGAACATCGATCCAAAGAGACCGCCAAAGCCACCGCCTGACGATGGGCAAAGTGGCTGAAAGAGACACCTTGTAACAGGCCAGGACCTACTAGTAGCGTCCTTGCTCCTAGTAGCGTCCTTGCTCCTTGGTGTCTTGGAGTTTCAAACTCCTGCTGTCCACTGTTCAGCGGGGTTGTTCCACAGTCTTTCTTTCAAAGGACGATCCACTCTAGCTTTTCACTCCGCATGTACTCAAGTGGGAAAACCCTTCCAAACCGAATTCCTGGTATCGTTTTGTAGTTTGGTTTGGGATTCTCGAAGCAGTAAACATATGCATTTGGGGGAGCCTAAAACCAGCTACCTCAGGGTGTTTGCATCGTTCGAATCCTCCTTCAGCAGCTTACTGCTCGTCCCCGGACGCCTTGACCACCGAAAGGCATCATCTGGTCTGCAAACCTCATTGCAGGGACAAGCTTGTATACAGTATGCACCTGTGAAAAGCTGGGATTTTCACATCACCACTGGCAAACAGTTCAAGGCGCTTTCAGGTTCCACGAGATTTTGTCAAAGACGCGGAACATGTTCCCTCTCAAAGCTCGTGCGATTCCCAGAAACGGTGTCGTCAGGCTTATTTACGGCCTTGAAGCTTCACTTTTTGTGGCAAGTGCAAAGACATTTGAACTAGGAGCAATGTTCGCTACTAGGAACAAGAAGCTATTAGGGGCTCCTGGCATCGCTACTAGGAGCAAGGACGCTACTAGGGGCTCCTGGCCGTACTACTAGGAGCAATGTTTGCTACTAGTAACAAGAAGCTATTAATTTAACTTAATTTAGTTTAATTCTAATAGCTTTTTGTTACTACTAGTAAGGCACTTGTTACTACTAGCGTGGCACTTGTTACTAGGAGCAAACATTTCTCACTTCGATGCGGAGATTTAGTAGCAGGTGTGTAAGACTCAGATTGCATGCCAGGCAGGGCGAATCATGAATATCGGAGAAATCCAAGCTTGAAATTGTGGGGAAGTCTCGTCTGCTTTTTGCATTCTTCTGAGACTCTTTTTCGCTTCTTTCTTGTGTTTGTTGGATACTTTCTCTCGTATTGGCATGCTGACATCTTCTGGAAGCGAAGCCCTCTTCCCATCAGCACCTTCCGTCCTCTCCCCACCGACCACGCAGCCAGGAAATGCCGATTGCAGTCCAAAGGGCGGGTCGAAAGGCTGAATCTGGCGATGGAGCATGGGAAGACGGAAGACTCTGATGGAGCATTGGAATTCCGATGGGTTTTCTTCTCGCAGGTATTGAACACATACCCCTCACTAGGTGGGCAGTACAGTAGAGAACCCTCAAATTGCCCTTGATGCTTAAAATTACGTTGGGAGGTTGCTGAACAAGGAAATGACCGAGGACCTCTGGAATAAAACGTCTTTTGTTTGGCCGATTCACATTGCTCTCCCACAACAGGCGTGGGCATGTCAAGGACCTCTTCAGATGATGTGCCAAGAGTCACAGTGCGTGGTCATGACCCTGCACACGCCTGGTGAACATTGTATCAACAAGGATAGTCTACACGGGCGTGTTCACCTACCTAGGGTTTTTGGACAAATTTGAGTCTGACCCAAGCCCACGCAGCAAGTCTCTCTGTATCTTTGAGCCACCCAGAACCAGCTCCTTGATCTAGAAGTGGGCTAGAACCACTCCGAATTGACGGTAGTTTGTGTAAATAAATGCCGGCTCACACACACACAAACAAACACTCCTCTAGACACTGCAGGTCAATTTCCTTTAAAGGCATGGCATAGCTCCACGTTGATTTTGTGCCTTTTAGCCTCCAAAAGAAACTCTGTACCGCACCCCTTCACAGACCTCTGTACCTCAGACTGGACCTCTGGCTGTCCCGTCTGCTCACTCGTTGCCTGCTGTTCTCGGCGAGGCCTTGGGAAGAAGAATCTTTCGACGTGTTTCTGCATCGACGTGAAGAGACGTCGAAACGGTGGGATGTCCTCTGCGATCCTCTACGACACCCATCATGGACTTGTGATGATTGACTTGACACATTTGGACTTGGGTGGAGGCGTGGTTGGTAGACGTGATGATTAGAAGCTCATGGGTTGGAGGAATCACCACTTTGGCGCACAAGTACTTACCTGTCCAGTCCGATCCAATCTTTCCATTTACCGGAGTATGTAGGGAATGGTCTGCTTTTGACACGCAAAACTCCACGACATCAGAACTCGAATTCCTAATTCGCACCATTGAACTCTAAGGGGAGATAGACAAGTACCAAGCTGATTCCGACAGACGCACTCTCCGACTTACACTGTGCTCTCCGGCTGTCCAAACATGGCGTCCGAGAGAGCTTTCCCTCGACCTGGGACTGCGAGAAAACGAGATGAACCGAAGACCGCAACGGCACGTTGAGGAGATCAGCCCAACACATGAAGAGTTCATAGTCTACTGGTAGCAAGGAAGCTATTAGGTGGAGGCCATCGCAAGTAGGTTGGAGGCCATCGCTACTCGGAGCAAGGAGCTACTAGTAGGTCTTTGAAGCTTTCTAGTAACTAGAAGCTACTAGGTGGAGGCCATCACTATTAGGCTGGAGGCCAATTACTACTAGTAACAAGAAGCTACTAGTTATTGGACTTGCTCTTCTTTCGTTTTCCTTTGTGAGGGTCTGCCATTCATGTCGAGTTCAAGCGTTGGGCTGAACTAGTGACAATGATGCCATGACATAACTTGGGAGCCCCAAAACGCTGGTGGAGGTCACTTGCAAGCCCTGTCATACCCTCCTTACTGGTTAAAGTTTCCCTTCCATCCACAAAAGCTTCCTGTAGCTTCTCTCCAAACGGACCCGGGTCGTGCCCCACCCAAAGCGGCTCACACGTTGTGCCCAGGCGCCAAGGCGGCGACGAGACCCGTTCACGGGCGTCCCAAGGACGAAGGGTGCTTGAGCGGTCGCGCGAGCGAAGGTTCTTGCGGTTCAAACGTCAATGAAGGCAGAACAACTCGCAGAAGGGACCGTGTGTGAAGGGAACCCAACTTCTTTTCATGGACATCTAAGTCTTCACTTTTGGCAGCCTACCCGGAAAACACAAGCCCCTTGGCTTTGTGTTTGTTTTGTATCAATACATCTTTATCTCCCAGTCCCAATCTGACTCTGACTGAACATTGAACATCACCCCAAGAAGCACAGCAAATGGTGAGAAAGCGGTTTGTACATGGAAAGTACCCTTAACGACTCAGAGTATGTCGCATTGAGAAGAAATCCGACTGACGTCACTGACATTCAAGTCCAGCGCGCATGAGATGCCCAGAAAAATGACGTTCCAATGCCATTTCCCTTCCGGAACCGCTCGCTCCCCTGCAGAGCGTGTGTCAAACTTTTAGAGCTGGACTGGCCAAAGCTCTCTCCGCTCTCGAAGCTGTGCTCGCTGGCGCTGCTTCCAGGAGGGGTAGGCGCTCTCTTCAATGTGGCTGCAAGGCTGGCGTGCGGGGATGGCACGTCCGAGTTCGTTTCGCTTTGGAACCAAAGCCCCGAGACTTAGTCGGAGTAACGATGGACACGTAGGACAGAAGCTGTGAACAAGGCCCTAAAGACAACCTCACTGTTTGTGAGGACTTAGAAGAAACTTGCTGAATTTATCCTAACTTGTCGATTTTCAGGTTGGATCAAGAACAGCGATCTGATGAAACACAATCCAAAACCTCTGCACACTGGCTTCAACAACGACCGACTCCCCACACTTCTGGAGGCCATCGCTATTTAGGTTCCTTTGCTACGAACGGAGCAAAGGGCATCGCTACTAGGAGCAAGCACCCTACTAGTAGCTCCTGGCCTTACTACTAGGAGCAAAAAGCCATTAAGTTGGAGGCCAGCGCTGTTCCTTAAAGTATCTTTTTCTTAAAGTCACACGAGGTGTGAACTCCGATCCCCACCAATCCGACACGCACATGCCACGACGCCACCTGCAGCTTAATGGGCGCCGGGTGGCGCGAGAAGTCCAGTTGGGACTTCACTTGCTCGTCCTGCCCGTCGGATGAGAACGGCACATGGGTACACACCTAGCGGTTGCACCGGCGAAAGAAGTGCTGCGGCTGTTCGTTCTACATATAGTTTTCTACGCTTGTCACAGTGTCATGTTGAGTCTCGGGTTTTGTTTTCTAAAAGCTAAGTAGTGCAGCAATTCATGAAAACGAACATCTGGTGTAACTGGTGAAACTCGGTTACTCAGTTGTCTAAGAAGCTTGCATGAGTCGTGGTTGTTCTGGAAACTGAGAACGTACCCAACGCAAAGGGTATCAAAGGTAATGGCTACCGAAACGTCGGAAGCACATGACTTGATACATGCTCCCTCAAGAGAGGCTCCTGCAAATAGAGCGGTGTGACCGGGTCCTCGGGCTTCCACAACGAAGAAACAACACGCTTTGCAATTGAAACAACCGTCACTGTTTTCTATTGTGAAACATCATCGACGGGTCAAACGGAAGGCCTCGACTTCTACTGCAGTATGTCTTGAGTGCACTTGTCAACAAAATCCCTCTGGTGCGTCTCAAGGTGCAAATCACAAGGGCTTTGTGGGGTCAATTACTCGCCTCTGCACGCAGGCTCGCTCCCCAGGTTTGTCTGGGCTGCCCAAACGGAGAGGTTCAACTTGTCATTGGCATAGAACAGATCGAACCTCACGTCGTGCGGAGATTTCGCGTCGTGCGGATGCTGGAGTCACGATGTGCCAGTCATCGACAACTACACCTGCTCCAGGTTGTGCCATTTGTCATCATTTGTCATATCCAGACCTTCAGCTCCAGTTTCTGGCGAACACGCAAACGGGCGGAGCATCTCCAACACGCTCCACTAGCGATGGCCTCCACACCTTCAGACTTTTCAAGCCTGGTCCCGTGTGACGTGAGTCCACCCCTCTCAGCGACCTCCGTCCTTGTCCTTCCGCTTTGCCCGGTTTCGCTCACCGCTCTCATCCCACGCCCTCCCGCTCTCATCCCTTTCGGGGCCCCCGGACAAATTCACGTAGCCGCGCACCTTGGAGCGCGGAACGGAGACGGAGACGCTGTTTGAGCGCGGTGAAGAAGCTCAAGCGGTTCCATGGCCCAAACGAGACCGGTCCACTGCGGATGGAGGAGGTCCAACGATGTCAGCCGAAGGCACGGCGATCGCAGGGTCCACCGCACCGGTGCCGTCCAAGTAGTGATAGATGACGATCCGGTCCTCGTCTCCTGTTTTGGCCGGTCCTCTTGTCTTTTCGACGAAAAGACATTCTTCTTCTCTAGTTTCTGTGAAATTCTACAAGTTTCAACACTGAAGTTGATTGTCTCTTGACTCTGGTTGCGGGAATCGTATCTGAGAACCTTTAACTGCACACTCGGAACCAGTCCACTACTCTTGCGCCTGTCCATCCAGTGGCTTCGCCATAGATAGAACCTCAGATATCCATGCCTAGTCACAAGCACAAATGCAGCCCACTGTGTACCAACAGGCGTAATCCAAGAGGCTGGAATACTAGCTGTCAATTCGTTTGAGAAACCTCTTGCGTTTCAACGTATAGGTACCAAAGGAAGGATAGCTGAAGAATGTCAATCCGAAAAGCGACAAGTAACTGGACACGAAAAGCATCAAGTTCAAGAACCTAAGGAGAAACTCCAATCTATCAGGAAAACAACCGAAGAGCTGAGCATAGCGTGCACCTTTACCGCCTGACCACCTGCTTGCCCCCAAGAGGCTGGTGACAAAGGCGTTCAAGGAGTCCAAGAACCCCCAACGTGGTAAGGCCTCCACAGTGTTGCCGTAGAGGCTATTCCATTGGAGGTCCTGGTTGGAGGACCAATCAAAGGCCGTCTTCATTCTTTCGGCAAGTGCCGAAGGTTTCTCCCTTCGACCGAAGGGTTGGGCAAGCTCAGTCCTCCAAACCCATTAGCCCCGCGAACCTGGGATCGGCTTTCTGGCGGATTCGCTGGTTGTCTTTTTGGGGAAAAGACTCAGACCGATGGAGGCGCCTTCACTTGGAAGTGAAGAGTGCCTCCTGAGAGATTGCAGCAAGGGGTACTCATCTACGTCAAGGCCAACATGACTTTCTTACCTGTCCCTACAAAATACACCAACACGGAGGAGACAGTCGATGAAAGCCCGCTGGTGGTGGGCACCCCTTGTTGTTTTTGACCTCCATATCACGAAATGCCTGAAAGGTGTTTGACACCGTGTGGATGTCCAAGCCAGGTGCTGGTTGATGGGCTAGGCCTCCCAAAGGAGGAACTCAAAGGTCTCGTTGATTGGTCTGAGCTTGGAGGAAAATACCTAATTTCTTAATTCTTGTTTCTAATAGCTTCTGTTACTACTAGTAAGGCCCTTGCTCCTAGTAGCGATGCACTTGTTCCTAGTAGCTTATTGTTTCTAACCATGTCCTGAACGTTTGGAGTTGCAACTGACTAAAGCGAGTCTTCACTTGGTCCCTTCGCTCTTCACAGCCTTCCTTTCCCTCTCCACTTGCCGAGGAACGCCTTTTGACAGAACTCATAGGGGTGATGCCAGAGCCAAATGATCAGATCCTACAAGCCAAATGATCGGACGGAAAAGCGAAGCCGCTTGGACCAACGAAGAGTGTCCAAAGCCAAGGCTTGACCTCTTGGCGCCTGAAAAACACAACATGCACCGCTGGAATTGATCATCGATGCTACTAGGAGCGATCGGATGCTATGAAAGGGGGCTCCTGGCATCGCTACGAACGGAGCAATGTTCGCTATGAACGGGCTCCTGGCCTTACTACTAGGAGCAAGAAGCTACTAGGGTGGATGTTGGATTCCCTTTTTTACTCTTTTGCTATTATATCGTTACATCTAGCGGAGAGATTGGAGAGATAGACCCGTTGCAAGTCATGGGCAGGTCATGAAGGCCAATCCTTTCCACTCGTACAGCACGCCACAGCCATGCTACAGCCTCTAACTTGCTTCTCCGCTCGACTGCGCTCGTCAAGCCGAGTCTCCGTTTGCATTCAAGCCGCTGACATCACACGTCCCCTCAAAACTGGATCATCGAGCTGCCATCTGTTTTACCGGAACATCTCTGTTGGGTTCCCCAATCCAAAAAGATCCAATTTGTGTCGGTCCTCTCCTCCCAAACGGTTTGACGGGTTTGCATGGTTCTTGAAGCTGAATGGCTCTACGAGCTACCAATGACCCAACGACACCACCGCCAAGCTTCACAGATCCCCGATACAGATCCGTGTCCTGGAGGAACTTGGCATTTGCCGGGTGGGACTTCATGAAGACCACCTGAGCCCATGCACCATGGCCGCGGCAGCAGCAGGTGACGGCTCAGTTTACTGGCCGTCAAGGTGTTGAAGCACTGCTGATCCGACTGTCGACACGGTTGATGGAGGCGGATTGAAAAAAGACTCGATGGAAGATTCAAACAGCTCCCCCGTGCCGATTGGGAACCATGGTTGACAGCCATGCAGTCATCTCGCAGGGGCCGGTTTCTCCAAATCTGTGGGAGTCGACCTCAACCCGACTGGCCCTGCATGGTTCCCTCACTGAAGCCGCTCGAACCATTTAACGTGGTTCGATGAACGGGGGGGCCCAGTTGGTGAACATCCACCTCCCAAAATGAGCTATGTACTTATTGTTTCTACTAGCTTCTTGTTACTACTAGTAAGGCACTTGTTACTAGAAGCGATGCACTTGTTCCTAGTAGCTTCTTGTTTCTACTAGCTTCTTGTTCCTAGTAGTAAGGCCAGGAGCTACTAGTAGCGATGCCCTTTGTTCCGTTTGTAGCGACGCTCCTATGAGCCCATGAACCCATGAGATGCCATGCGTCATGAGTCTAACATCCTCGTCCCACCGTGTTCTCCGCATCGTCCGCGTCCGAGCCGCGCCGATGTTGATGCACTCGCTGCCCAGGTCACGGGTCAACAAGAGCTCGGCCTGTTCTACTCGACCGAAGGCTGCGGCTGCGGCTGTAGCAGTGGCCTTCCAACCGAGTAGCGACGGGCTCCAGCATGGGACCGCTGAACTGCAACATTCTTGAAAGGCTTTCGGTTGTTGCTGGATGGCCCGGATAGCGCGATGGCAGGCCAAATGTCTAGTAGGGAAAGCTGTGAACTTCATCCTTTTCTTGGAATAGCGGTCTCGCTAGAGAGTTGCAATTCCTAGTGTCCTAGACTGGAGTGGGTGATTCGGTTTCCTGGTAAAGCGAGGCTCTTTCTGATTGGTCCAAAGTGCAGGTAGCATGAAAGGCCGCTACAGGTCGCTTTCGTCCAAGGGCAACAAGGTACAGAATAGAACATGAAGGAGAAAACAAGATGGAGCCCACGAACCCGAATGCAAACACGTTCCAAAGGCTACATATGTCTAAATGACACTCTTGTAGGAAACTCTTGTGGGTCACTTGCAGGACACTCTTGTGGGACACTCTTGCGGGACACTCTTGTAGGACACTCCTTGTGGGACACTCTTGTGGGACACTGTTGCGGGACACTCTTGTGAGACACTCTTGTGGGACACGGTTGCTGGACACTCTTGTGGGACACTCTATCTGGGACACTCTTGTGGGACACTCTTGTGGGTCACTCTTGTGGGA